GGCGCCTGCCGGGCCGCAGGTCTAGACCGGTGCTGGTCTGTCTTCTCACTGCGGCAGCAGATCGTGCCCACGGGTGTGAGCCCTGCGGGCGGCAGAGGCACTTGCGGGGTGCGGGCCCCTGGGGCCGGCGCCGCGACCCCCTGAGCTCCCAGGGTGAAGTGCCCTTGTCCATGTCACGGGCGGGGCCTCGCGGCTGCGGGGCTTCGGCCAGAGGACCCAGACCAGGCCAGGCAGCACCTCCGACGGTCACTGGCCCCCTGCCCTTGCCCGCCTGATGCTTCCCTGGGCCGAGCGGGTGTTGAGAATCACGAGGTGTTTCACTGGGCGTTGAGCTGCGCTGGATGGGCCAGGCGGGGGGTGGGGGGCAGCAGTGAGGGCCGCCAGGAGGCCCGAGGCTGCCCGTGGGTGAGAGCGAGGCGCAGAGCAGGAGCGTCACAGTCAGCAGCGAGGTCACGAGGGCCAGCTGGGAGCAGGGACAAGATCCCTGAGTGACAGGAGGATGCAGTGGCGCATTTTTGTTTCAGAAAGGCCCCCGGGGGCACCCAGGGCCCTGGAGTCCGCGGGGGCTGCTGTTATATAGCACAGCCCTGGCCGAGCTGCCCCGTCCCTCCTGACTGCCCTGGCACTGAACTGTCCTCTGGACATCCAGCTCGGCGTGCCGGGGTCCACCAGCCAGGGTGACCCAGCGCCCCGCCCTGCTCTCTGCCCAGCCACCCCTCGGGCCGCTGGAGGTGGGGGGCGGCTGACCCCGGGCTCGCACGCAGCCCTTCCCGCCGGGCCGGCGCTCACCCGCCGTCTGTCCCTCAGCTTCATCGGCCACTCGCTGGGCAACATCATCATCCGCTCGGTCCTGACCAGGCCCCGCTTCCGCTATTACCTCAGCAAGCTGCACACGTTCCTGTCGCTGTCCGGGCCTCACCTCGGGACCCTGTACAACAACAGCGCCCTGGTCAGCACAGGTGAGGTCGCCGGTCCGGTCCCACGGTCCAGTCCCACAGTCGGACGAGGGAGGGGCTCACGGCGCACGGGAAGGCCCCTGGCCTTGGAGGTGCTGAGGGAGGGGAGCGCAGGCTCCCTCCCCGCAAGCATGCAGGCGCCGCCCCGGCTCTGGCCCCGACACGAGCCTCTCGGCCTTGGACATGGGCCCGAGTTTGGGCTGCTCCCCTGGCTGCACCTGGGGGCACTGGCCCACACTGGCCCCGTCATCTGCAGTCTGACCCAGGCGCTGCGGCCAGCACACAAGTGGACAGGCGTGCCTCTAACTCTCGAGCATTTGCTCACATGCCCACAAGGCCTTTATCCTTAAAATGCATCACGTGGGCCCTCGCTGGGTGCAGCGGGTCTGAGCGCAGCACTGAGAAGCTGAAGCCACTGCAGCACGAGTTCGATACCCGCCTGCCCCGGAGGTGCTGCAGGCAGACCCCTCCTGACTGCCCACTGCTCCCCTCAGCAGTGGACTTTCTCAGTCAGCTTGTTCTGCTCCCCGCTCTGTCTCTGGGGAATCCTCGCCCCTGCACCTCTGGCCTGCACCCCAGCTTTGTACGCACACACAAATGAATCTTTTAAACATGCATCATGTACTGCTCGCTGAGCTCCTCTCACCTCCGCCTCTTTCCCTTTGCTCGCGCACTCGGGGCCCGCGGCACTTGCCGTCAGGCTTGTGGCTCATGCAGAAGCTGAAGAAGTCGGGGTCCCTGCTGCAGCTGGCCTTCAGGGACCACGCTGACCTGCGCAAGTGCTTCCTCTACCAGCTCAGCCAGAAGACAGGTGAGCGCCACGCAGCCCTCGCCACAGGGGCCTGGGCACGGGCTGGGCACAGCTGCTGATGGGCTTCACGGCCAGGCCCGCAGAGGTGGGCTGGGGGCCAGCGGCTACCCAAGGCCACGCGGGAGTCTCTCCCCCAGAACCCCAGGGTAGAGCATCACAGGTGAGAGACTAGGTATGAGCGGGAGGGTCTCTGCACCCAGAAGCTGTAGCCTTTGCCCCCTGTCGAACGCCACCCACAGGGCC